AAGGAGCTGACCATGGTGAGGGCCGAGTGAGGGCCAGTGATAGCAGAGAATAGTGAGGAAAGTGGGTGGTACTGGGGTCCAAGGCCTCTTGCTGGCTGTGTGACCTGGGGGAGCCAGCATGTTGCCTTTCTGAGCTTCCCAGCCCGTGGTGTGGCTGTTTTTATTGCACCTGTCTCACGGAGTTGCAGGGCTGTGTCTGGCGGTGATGCACAGAGCCCCTGTACATGGTTGGCACTGAAGAAATAGCAGCTGTGATGAAATCCAAGCAGTCATTGTTCTTCCCCAGAGTCCGGAGACTGCTTGTGAGTGAGGGTCCCTGCCAGGTCCACCGGGGGTCAGTTGCTGAGGCATCAGAGTCCCCTGTCCATAGAAAGGAGGACGGACGGACGATCACAGAGCTCTGGGCCACTCACAGCCCTCCTTGGACCTGGTCTCATTGTGGGGGGCGGTGGCTGGAAAGGACAAGAGAGCTCCTTGGAGGGAGTAGATGCTGACAGGCACAAAAACTACAGGCGTCCTAGGGAAGGAGCCCGGCTGGAGGTTTGTACGGAGACCAGTAAAGGAAATGCAGTCAGGTGCCTCTCCACCCACCCTCCTGCTTCCTCCCTGGTATGGGGAGCTCTTACCTCAGCTGACCCTTTCCAGGCAGAGCCCCCCAGCAAGTGGGTACTGCCCCCTCTGTGAGGGTTTTGAAGAGGAAGCTGGAGCAGTTGAGTCAGGCTCTGTGAGGGCTCTTCTGAGTCTCCCTAGAGACGGTGCCGCCCCACACTCCAATGGAGGTTCTGTTGTCCCTAGCGTTCATCTCCATCCAGATTCCAGGATGAGGCTGTTCTAGTGTTTGGGTTCCTCTGTCCCCATCTCTTCTCTCTCTCCCTCTCTCTCTTTGTGCTTTTTTTTCCCCTGCTAGGGTCCCCATGTTTGGGGAGCAGAGAACCATCGGTCTTGAGATGTCAAGAATTAGCACAGAGTCACCTAGTGTGGTGTTGCGTGAACACCACTCTCTTCCGCTGGCATCTTAGGAGACTGAGTTTGGCGGATCATAGAATCTCGGGGTCTTTTGGTGCTTGGAATGCTAGAATTCCTGGCTCAGCAGGGCCCAGAGTATGTGCGGCCTGGGTTATGAGATATTTTCCGGCAGCCAGTCCTCCTTGCTCTCCTTCCTCCTACTGAAGCCTTTTTCTCCAGCAGCGGGTGCCAGGCCTCGAGGAGCCCCAGGTGCCTTTGTGCACCTGCTTCCTGTCTTTTTGGGTGGCAGAGATGGTGGGCTCTGGGGATTTGAAGGTCAGAGTTACCTAGAGGCCCTGATCAGCCTTACTCTGGCGCACCAGGCCAGGTATGTAGCAAGCAGAACTGTGCCGTGGCATTGCATTGGAGGGTTGGGTCTCCACAGGGTGGTCCTGGCTGAGACACAGGGCCCCTCTGAAGTATCAGGTTCCCATGTCTTCCAGGATCAGCTTTCCTGAGGCGGTCATCCCGCTGTGAACTTGACTCAACTGGACTCTGGGGCTGTGGGTTTTTTTTTTTTTTTTTTTTTTTTAAATTTCTGAAATCCTAGCCCAGTCTGAGTACATTCCTGAGGGTCTGTGCTGCCTCCTCCACTGCCAGGGTCTTAGTTTGTGTCTGGGCTCAGGCATCTTATCTGATGTGAAGCTTCGCCCTAAGTCCTGCTCTGTACACTTGGCGCAGTTGGTTAATAGAGCTGTGGGGTGGGGGTGGGGGAAGGGAAGGGAAGAGCTCAGGGGTGGGAGGAATCTCCCCCTGTTCAGATGGAGAATTCTGAGTCAGGGGGGCCTGTGAAAAGGGGAGAGGAGCCCTGGAATCCTCAAGTTTGGCACTCAGGAGTGGGGGGTGATACAAGCACTTGCAAAACTCTAGCTAGGAGGCAGAAGGAGGCTGTAGGTGAAAGGCCGGGCTGGGGTCACTGGGGAGTCCCCCCCCCTGAGGGCCACATTCCTCACTAGCAAAGAGGGGGCAGTAATATTTTGGCACTTGGCATAGGGTAATGTGTTCAGCTATTGGTCCTTGAGGCTTCAACCTCCTGAGACGAGCTTGAGAGGTGGGGGTCGGGGGACGACACTCTGAACCCATTTTGGCCAAAGTCCTTTTCTATGACCAACACCCCAACCCTGATTTCCTGGCAAAAAACACCAGACTGGGGCCAAGATCATTCTCCAGTCTGTTTTGTGGTAGCAGTCACTGGCTGGGAATCTGAGTCAAGGCTGGTTGGTGAAGCATGCCCATGTGTGGACGTACACCGCTACAATCAGAAGCAGATGGGCTGACAGTGTGGCTCAGTGGGTAGAGCACTTGCTCTCTGCACGAAGACCCGGCTTCTATCCCCAGCATTGCAAAGACCAGGCACGGTGCTGCTCGCCTGCAATCCCAGCACTCGGGAGGTGGAGGCAGGAGGATCGGAAGTTTAATAATGGTCATCCTCGCCTTCACAGTGAGTCTGAGGCCAGCCTGTGCTATATGATACTCTTTCAAAAAGAAAAAAAATGAACCAGAGACTATCCAACCCCACCCATACTGTCCCGAGCAGCTGAAGTGAGGCTGGTTTATCCGTGTTGGTGGTGGAAAGTAAAGAGCAGGGTCTGGAATCCCTTGGAGTCACAAGAGCTGTTTTTGGCGGCTCTTTCTTCCAGGGCAGGGGTGGCTGGGGAGTTTTGGTTTGATGGCTGAACTGACTCTTCTTCTAGAATCTAATGTCTGTCCTGCGGCTCTCTATTCAAGAGTCTCTGTGGCTGGACCGGAACACCATGCCCTATGTGTCTTCCCTGCTTTTACACCAACCCAGGCCTCCCAACACCTCAAGACACCTTTGCGCTGAACTGCTGGGGTGGCTACATCTTGGAGTGACCTTTCTCGCATCCTGTCACCTTCAAGACGGCCTCCCCATCCTGACAGCCCATCTCATCTAGCCTTCTCTTATGAGCCAAAGCCAGATCATCCCTTCGCTTGCCGCACCAAAGTGATCATGCTCTAGTGGGCACTGGAGAGGGTAAACTGAGGCTGTCCCTTTCAGGAGCTGTGACTCTGAGGTCCTCTTTGCAGGACTGAGGTGAACAGAGGGCTTTCCAGGCCTGGCTCACCCAGCCTGATGTTCTTGCTCTATAGATGGGAAGCTGTGGCCCAGTGAGGGACAGCATCCTCCCGGGGCCCACAGCCCTAGTTAACGATTGGAATAGGTAGGTTATATCCTACCTTTTGTGTTTGTACCCCTCCCTGGCTGGGTGGTTCTTCTGGGGACCATCCCTGGAAGAATCACAGGGCTCTGGAGAACCAGGAGTGGGTGGTGGTCTGGGGTGGGAGTCTTTTCTGTGCTTCTGCAGAGGTGGGAGCTTCCAGATTTCTGGGGAAGAGAAGAGCCTTTGATCTGTGAGGGGTGCAAGGTTAGCGAGTGCCCACAAGGGGGCAGCATAGAACTCTCAGGCAGTCAGAATGAGTGGTGCTCTGGATGCTGGAAAGGGTGGGCATGAAGCCCAGTTGGTAAGTAGATCGCCTAAGCGCCAGATCTGCTCAGAGGCGGTGGGTTCAGCACTAAGAATGTCACTATTGATCTGTCTTGCCCATGACTTCTCAGTAACTTTTTTCCCTCCCAGAGACAGGGTTTAGCGTGGCCCAGGCTGGCTTCAAACTCACGAAGTAGCTAAGGATGAAGGTCTGATCCTTCTGCCTCCACCTCCTCAGGACTGAGTTGACAATCACATGTTACTGTCTCTGGTTTATGCAGTGCTGGGGATGGAACTTGGGGCTTTGTGCGTCAGACAAGCATTCTACCAACTTACCAGCCAGACACTTTCAGTACCATCTCAGCAACAGGCCTTTTGATCACCATCAACCAGGGCTTCTGGGGTGGGTGGCACAGCTTCCTCCTACTTAGTCTGGCCCTGTGTGACTCTGCCAGGCATACTGTCCCAGAGCAGCTGGCCCCATTTCCATGGTGCCCTGGCTTAGGTTCACAAGACAGCTTTCTTTCCTCAAGAAACAAGCCTGCGCCCAGCAGCCGGAAGCATCTCCTGATGCTGGGCAGGTGGGAGCTGGTGCTTGAGGAGGCGGAGCCAGGAAGGGATTAGTAGCTAGGCAGCAGATAGCTCCAAGCTGTGTGCCCATGTGAGTGGGCAGCCTTAGTGGAAGGCGCTTGGCAGCAGGGTCTGCCACTCCCTGCTGAGCAGTCATGGAGAAGTTGGGGAGGACACTGTCCCATGATCGAGAAGTGAACAGTACCTACACCCAGGATAGCCACAGTGATGTCCGTCTGATACCCTGAAGAGGAGACGGAGGGTCTGGATAGCACCCGTATTCTGAAAGGAAATCTGTAGAGTCCCAGGGCTCTACACGAACACACTGGGCTTTAGGGGGGCGGGCAAGCAGGCAAGCTGGCTAGAAGACACCAGCCTAGTGGCTCATGACAGGAAGCCATCTGACGGAAACACTGACTGCCAGGCCTCGTGGGGCTCTGGGGTGGGGAGACAGTTAATCTACAAAGCATCAGGGCAGCTCCCACCAGAAGGTGACCTTGTGTGCTGGGACAGCTGCCATCCGTGCTGGGCATCTTTGGGGGCATAAAGGGATGGCCAATGGGCCACCGTTGGCCGCTTGGTGGGAAACTTGCCAAGACTTGCCCTGTGGCCAGCCCCGCTGTCCTCACCCCAGGGACAACTTTCTTCTCTAATCCCTTCCTTCCCTCTGCTCTATGGACAGGTGACTAACAGATGACAGGCTGGGTTACAATGGCTTTGCTGACCGTGGGGCCTTTTGCTGGTGGCCCATGGCCCCAGTCTTCCCCACTGGACAGGTTCCTCAAAGATGCCCAGCAGACAAAGGGTAAGGTCCTGATATGCGGTGTCCCTGGGATACCCCCCTCCTCTTTGACAGACTTATCTGCAGAACACACACTTCCTGCCACCTCCTACTGCGCGCACACACAAAAACCACTTACAGTAAGTCTGGGCCCTCAGCATGGGACAGCACTGGCTGAGTGGGGGTCCACAGGCCCCACATCACAACCACCTGACCACAGCTCACCCAATACCCATAGTCCCTGTCCTCTGGCAGGGGCATTCTGAGTCTCATGTACACCCCTGCTTCTAATGTGTCTTCCGTGTGGCTCACTCTGCAGAGCTGAGCTAATCCATTGCCTGCCTGTGCTTCTGAAGACCCTGAGCTAGGAAAGCTACATGAACTCCCCCCCACCCGGCCCCTCCATGAATTTCCTCAGTCTGGGCCTTTAGGATCCTGGAGGAGGGAGGGGCCAGCATGGGGGTTGGGAAGAGTCCCTCCTTTGCAAGAGCATTCAAAGTCATTTGGCAGGTCCCCAAAGTGACAGGGTCTTTTTCTCGGAACTTACAGAGTACAGGGGTCATTTTATAACTAAAGCATTTATTTCCATTCAATTCACTAACGGATTGTTCTGCTCGGGTTCCTGCGCTGGCCCACAGGGGAGTCTGTGGCCAGATCCCTTGGCTGACGATGTTCCTCTGGCCAAGACTTTAAGACCTGGGCAAAGGCCTCAGGGAAGGAAGAAGTGAGAGATAGAAAGAGAGTCACATGGTCTCTGAGGGGTACCCTTGGAGGGCTGGGGTGTCACAGTGAATGATCAGGGTCCTGATGTCCTGGGTAGCCTGCTCCAGGCTCCCAGAGGTGAAATTGGGTTTTGGCCATCGGAGAGCACCCAAGAACCTGAAGGGGCCTCTGTGCCTGCAAAGTACCAGCTAGAAGAGGGCAAAGAGCGTGAAAGTGTGCAGGGAGGCAGGGAAGACTTCCAGCCTAGGAGCCCCCATCTGTCTCAGTCTGCTTTCCAAGGTGGGATGCTCGGTGCAACTCCTTCCGCTCCCCCAGCCCCACTGAGGTCTCTGAATGACCCAGGTGGCCCTGTGACAGTTGGCTTTGGTGAGGCCTGGCAGCAGGTGGGAGGAGGGAGGGGTGTCAATGAAAAGCATATAAAAATCCAGAAATGTGCATATAAAATCTCGCCCTTGGTGTATTGCCTAAGTCAGTAAGCAGTAAGCACCTTCTTCCTGGAGAAGGATCAAGTCCTCAAAAGGTAGGAAATGTCAAAGTGTCTCTTCATTGTCATTTAAAAAAAAAAACCCAACAAACAAACCCTCCCCAGACCAAAGCCACCCCAATCAAAATACCCCCAGTCCGTGAATTGCTGTAAACAAACCCAGATGCAAGATCAATGCTTCTCAGTGGCAGTCGTGGCTGATGACAGTCACCCGCAGCATTGTCCTCAGGGTGAGGCCGAGCGGGAGCAGGCACCCGGGCAGGGCAGGGCCACCTGGGGCTGCAGACCTGGGTGGCTGGGCCTCAGGCAGATCTGGCCTGTTTGGCGTGACCTGGGAGGCCAGAAGCTCCTCTTCCGCCTCCTGAACCATTAGCTGAAAGTCTCTCGGAGTTTTTGAAATCGTCTCTCAGGACAAAACTAGTCTCCTGTCTGCTGGCGGCAGCTGGAATGGACTTCCTTGGAGCCTATGTGGGCTGGCTGCCTGTCTCTCTGCCCCTTGTGCCTAGGGCTGGGCCGTTAGTGACGCTCCAAGACACAGCTAAGGCCAGGCAAGGAGGGTGGCCCATCTCTTCCCTTCATGTTAATCATCCTGGAAATGTTTCCTGGCTCCGGCCAGCTCAACCTTCCCAGAAGGAGCTGGAGAGAAAATGCTCTTGGCTTCCAATGGGACAGACCGTGTGGCTCCCCCAAGCCCTTTTCTTTTCTCCCCTAAGAACCATCATCACTCTTCTTATGAGAATCCTCTTGGAACAAACGGTCCTTGCCTGTCCCGCCCCCTCCCAGATCTAGGTGCGTGTTCCCCCCTTTCCCTTTTCCTTCCATTGACTTGCATGGGTTCTTGGTGACGTCTTGTTGGCTGGAGTGCTCTTGGTGCTTCCTGTTGCCTTGTGGCCTCCTGGCAGGTGGCTGACCCTGCAGTGGACAGGGCAGCAGAGGGACCGACGTAGGGGGCTTAGGGGGCGGCATGGAGGAAGAGGCGAGCCGAGGCAGGCGAACGTCAAACCTCCACAGACTGGATCTGGTTCATCTGGGCCCGCATCACCTGGATACTGTTCAGGATTTTTTTCTGGTGGCCAGCTAGGGTGACCCCAACCCGGAGAATGTCCCTTTGGGAGAGATGGACACAGTTAGGAAAAACGTATGTGTTGAGGGGGTGGTGGGCCAGATGCCTTAAGTTCCCCAGGCCCTTTCGTGCTGAGGGATAGGGAAAGGATGTGGGGATGGACAATGGGTATCAAGGCTGGACTAAGAGACTCTGGGGCCAGATCAGCCGATGCAGAAGCAGGAAGCCCGTTTTCCTTCTGTCACCCAGAAGCGTGGATGGACTTGGATTGGCCACGTACCCACTTCCTTGGTTCTCCTTCACTAAACCCTGGTTTGCAGATGAAAACTCTTGCCAGGCTTTTGGGAGGCACCAGGCGGACCCAGCTATAGATCTGGATGTGTGTGACCCCTTAGTTCCCCCTGCTGGGTCACTGCCTACTCACTCTCCCATGCCGTGCCTCATGTCTGGCTGCTGGGGTGGAGGGTGGGGAGTGGGTGTCAACAGCAATGGGCGGAGGTCGCTAGGCACTTACTCCATCATCATCTGAGATACAACGTCAAAGGAGGTGAAGCCGGCATTGGCGAAGCTCTCCTTGTACTGTCCCATCTTGATGGCTTCCAGCCACTCATCCACCGTGTTAAAACTGGTGTAGTCAGGGATCGTTCGGTCCAGCAGAGGCAGGTTGATGCTGGGGGAGGGGAAGGGGACAGGGGATGGTCAGGGCACACACTTATAGCCAGGTGGAGGATAGGAATGCGTGTGGTACCCGTGTGGGTATCATTGTGTAAACACAGGTGAGTGTGTGTAGGTGTTTATGCGGAATATGGACATGAGTCAGGACTTGTATAAGGGTGTATCTGAGTGCCGGAGGAACCTGGGAACCTGGGGAAGGCTCTGGGAATCCCCACTTATAGGAGGGCCTTCGGTTGGGCGATGGTGCCAGCTAGTCCCTGCTTCCTCCCCTAGAGCCTGTCTTCCTCTTTCTCTGACCTTGGTACGTGCTTCCAGCATACGGACCACATCATCAGATCTACCACATGCGGACAAGGCTCAGAGCTGATGGGGACAGCCTCTGGGTGGGCAAGGCTTGCACAGCTCTCATGAGGGGAAGGGATCAGGGGCTTCATCTAGAACAACAGTTCTCAACCTATGGGTTGTGACCCCTTTGGGTTTAACAGTCCTTTCACAGGGGTCACCTAAGATCATCGGAAAACACCGATATTGACGCTATAATTCATAACAGTAGCAAAATTACAGTTGTAAAATAATTCGGTTGGGGGGCTCACCACACGAGGAACTGTATTAAAGGGTCGCAGCATTAGGAAGATTGAGAACCACTGCTCTAGAGAGAAGAATGACTGACATAGGGTCAGGGTCAGGGTCAACAGGTGGAAGTTAGTACAAAGACCTCATGGCCACAGACGGACTTTGACTCAAGGAATCTAGGTTTGGCTGGCCCTGGTGGAAGGGTACGTGGTTGCACACTCTCCCGCTAAACCCCATGGGACTGAGGGTCCCTGTTACTGGGACCAGCAGCTATGTGACCCATGAAAGTCATATGACCTGTATGATAGCTGTCCTTGGGTTCCAGAGAGTAAGACTGAGCAGGGTCAGCAGCCACCTGACCTTGTAATAGCCACCTCTGGAAGGCAATAATGAGGCAAGCCTAATGGAGCATATCCTGGGACCGCAGAAAGGAAGTCCCAGGATCCCTGAACCCTGTCCTGGGGCTGAGCTGCTATTTCCATTCTGGGGACATGTATGTGGTGGGTACGGCCTTCTGAAGGGGGGCATGTGTGCACTGGTGGCTATGTGGCTCTGAGAGCGTGTGTGTGTGTGTGTGTCTGTGAGACCAATCATGAGTGCTGTGCCTCACTCTGTGCACGAAGGACTTTGCACAAGTGGTTGTGTGTGTGTGTGTGTGCATTTGTACCTGTTCCAACGAGGGCACAAATGCATGCTGGGTGTGGAGAGGAAGAAAGAACAGTTAGAGGAATCTGTGTTGAACACAGCCAGTCACCACCGAGACTCCAGACGGTAGGCAGTGCTTCCTAAATGCTGTCCCCTCCGACCCTGCTTTACAAGGGTCTTCCTCCACCACCCCAGACTGTCACCGGGTAGGGCCCAGATAGCACCCAGAGGAGATGGGTGGGGCTAAAGTGGATCACACCCAGAAGCAAGGGCTTGGAGACAAGGCTGGGACCAGGGCAGCCATACCCAGAGGACAGGGGCGCCATGGCTTTGAGGCTGTTGGGGTTTCGGATCATCTTGTCCAGCGTGTTGACAATCTGGCCAAACTTGGGCCGATGGTTGCGGTCCTTCTGCCAGCAGTCCAGCATGAGCTGGTGCAGGGCGCTCGGGCAGTCCATGGGCGGAGGTAGCCGGTAGTCCTGTTCTATGGCGTTGATCACCTGGGGAATGGCAGAGGCGGAGTGGGGCTGGATGGCTGGGGTGAGGACTTTAGCCAGGAACATTTATCCCTGGAGCATTGCAGACCTGACCCATGGGGACTCCTTGAGCTCCTAAGACTGCCTTGGGTTCCACCATGGGTTCCCACCATCCACTGCCTGTCTGTCTCCTGTGTCAAGTCCTGGCCCCTCTACCACCATGAAGATAAGATTCTTCTAATGGAACTTGACCACAGCTTAACAAATTTCCCCTTCAAGGAGCCTCATCCTTCTAGGGTATTTGTGTGAATGAAAATCCCTGGGGAGACTTCACACTGCTCCCCTGAAGCCTGCTACAGTATGGATCTCAATGTTACTCAAAAACCCATGTGCTAAAGGTTTGGTCCTCAGCTTGGGGACCTACGTGAGGGTGGTAACTCTTCTAGGATGGGGCCCAGCGGGAGGAAGATAAACCACTGGAGGCATGCCAAGAGGGGGACACTGGGATGCTGGTCCCTTCTTCTCCATTCTCCTTGCTTCCTGTTGCTATGAAACAAGCAGCTTCCCTTACATTTCCACCGTCACGTATGGTCCTCAAAGAGATGGGCGAACTAGATAGACCGAAACTGTGAGCTCAAACAAACCTTTCTTCCTTTTAAGGTGACCGTTTCAGGCAGCTCGTTATGATAGACAGCTGACCCACACAAAGCCTCGCTACCCTTTCTGACCGAGTTTCTGCTCCAAGCTCCCGACCCTGCTTCTCATCCTGGCCTCTACACCTCTGCGAGAGCCGTTCTTCCCACTGCAGGCCCTCGCTCTCCGAGGGCTACTGGTTCTGTGGAGACTTCTTGGCTGACCTTGTCCTGACTGTCCTGGCCTCCACGCCCACAAGGCTTGACACTTGTGTTCTACACTTTGGCACCTGACCATAACAATCCATGATGCTTGCGGCTGATTCTCTGAAAAGTCATCTCGGGGCCAATGAGACGGCTTAGCAGGTAAAGGCACTTGCTACCAAGAACTCAGAACCTGCATGGTGGAAGCAGAGAACTGATACCCACAGAGTGTCCTCTGGTTTTTACACATGTACCACGACACTTTAGCAAGCGTGCGCGCATACACACACACACACACACACACACACACACACACACACACACACGGCAGCATGGCTCTTTGGGCCTGGCTGCTCCCACATGCTGAGGATTCGCCTATTGGTGGTTGAGCAGGTGGACCTCCCACGATCCTCTTTGACAGTCCAGGTTCATCTGCCTGGGAGCCCTGGACTTGCCCTCCTCAATCTGGAGGCCCAGGAAAACCCTGCCCACATCCCGGAGACTTACGTCCTGGTTGGTCATGTCCCAGTAGGGCCGCTCCCCGTAGGACATCACCTCCCACATGACGATGCCATAGCTCCACACATCGCTGGCTGAGGTGAATTTCCGGTACTGAATGGCTTCCGGCGCTGTCCAGCGGATGGGGATCTTCCCACCCTGGGAACAGAGAGAAGAGGTTGATGGGGGGAATGGTGACCTGTCTGATCTCTTCTCTCTATATTCCCCACATTGTGCTCTTTCAGAGCCCAGGAAGAAACTCATTGTTTTCCAAACTCCTCAGTTTTTTTCAACCACATTCGTATACGCTGCTTCCTCTGCTGGAAATGCCTTTCCCCACACTGCCATCTGGAGTCCACCTTTTCATCCTTGAGTCCCCAGAAAGTCTTTCCCTGGTTCTCAGAGAGTTCCTGATTCCCCAGATTCCACGGTGTGCTCATGTCTCTCTTGCCTTCCCAGGCCATGTTCTGGCGCCCAGTCCTTCACTCTCTTCGTTCACCATCTCCCTGCTTCTGCAGCCCAGGCGACCCAAGAGCCCAGGAGTTTTTCTGTGTGTCCCTTCCTGTCTCCAGGGCCCAGTGAAGGCTTGGCCTGGGCAGGTCGGTGGATACACACAGCTTGGAGAAGTGGCTATGCCCAGGGACCCTTGCTGTCCTCTTACCAGAGCGCTGGTATAGGTGGGGTCAGAGGTGTCATCCTCGAGGAAGCGCGAGAGCCCGAAGTCGGACACCTTGCAAACCAGGTTGCTGTTGACGAGGATGTTGCGTGCAGCGAGGTCCCGGTGCACATAGTTCATGTCTGCTAGGTACTTCATGCCAGCTGCGATGCCCCGCAGCATGCCTACCAGCTGGATGACTGTGAACTGCCCATCATTTTGCTGGGGGGGAAGGCGGAAAATAGAGTGGATGGAAGAGCAAGTGTCAGCGCTCTGGAACTGCTCACAAAGGCAGCTGTCTGCCACCTCTGTACACGCCACGGGAAAGACTCAGATACCCAGGAACCTCAGCGTGGCCTAGGAGAGGCCAACTTGAGGATGGTAGGGAGAATACTAGCCTTGGAGTAAGCGTGTGTAGATTGACCCTGTTCCTGCAAGCTTAGACACATGACCTACTCTCTGAGTCTAACTGGCTCACCTGTTAAACAGGGTAGAAGTGACACACATCCCTTAGGGCTGCGCTGATTTAAACAGTAAGCTGGTGCTGGGACCAACTTCATCAACATTTGCTGAGTGACAGCTGGCTCAGTGGCACACTCCCGACACCCAGGCCAGCGCTCTCTTGTCTTGATGGCTGACTGCGCTGTCCCGAGGGGATTCATCTGTTGGCCTTTTGCTTTGATTTGTCTCCTTTATCCTGTGCAACTTGGGGGAGCTACAAGGTCTACAGAACACCCTTGGATGGGTGTCAACAGCCCTTGCTGTAGCTCTCCCTTTGGCCCTCTGACCCTGGGCTAATGCTTCTTCTCTCTGAACTCTATTCTGCTGTGTCATGAGAATGCTTCTTGAGCATGGACAGGCAGGCACCTCATGTGGTACAACCCTGAGGGAATGCCTGGGCTTCCCAGGGAAACACATTAAGGACTCTGAGATTGCTTCTGAGTGAGAGGAAGCTCTGGGATTGATTAACAGTGCCTGTCAGGGTAAGACAATGAATGGTAGTGACTAGTAAGCTACTCCTGGCCTAGCGCTTTCTCGGAATCCAACGAAGTTATGCCCAGCGGCCTTTTCCTACCCTGCTCACACCCCTGGGGCTCTCCATACCCGAAGGAAGGAATCCAGTGAGCCATTCTCCATGAACTCAGTGATGATCATGACAGGTGTGCTCTTGGTGACGACCCCCTCCAAGTGGATGACATTGGGGTGGTCGAACTGGCCCATGATGGATGCCTCACTTAGGAAATCCCGGCGCTGCTTCTCCGTGTAGCCCGACTTGAGGGTTTTGATGGCTACAAAGATCTCTCTCTTGCCTGGCAGCTTCAGATGGCCACTGCAGACCTCACCAAACTCCCCTGGGATAGACACATTGAGACAGACATAGTGTCATGTGGGAAGTGTTACCTCCCTGTGGCCTGCCACTCCCATTATAGGTGCGTTATGACCTCATTCTAGCAAACACAGGATCCCGTTGTGAATGTAGGACCTAGAACAGGCCCAGCCACCTTTGGGAAAGTGGGTCCTTCATGGCTGCCCTGAGGTATCAGGATGAGGACATGGGGAGACTTGAGGAGCTGGGGACAAGACCATGGTGGAAAGGAGAGAGCTAGGCTCCAGATCCAGTTTAACCTCCAACTTGCTGTGCCTCATGCCAACCTCAGTTTCCCCTCTATGCATATGGTGGTTTTACAGGATGACTTCTGAGGGTCCTTTGTGTCCCTTATCTTCAACTTATCATCAATTTCAGGGTTACACTGTGATCGCCCACCCATGGCCAAAGCCATGGTACCTTGAGGCATTTGCTACCTACCTGCTCCAATCACCTGCTCAATCTTGACACAGGAGATGTCGATTTCCTTGGCAAACTCCCGCACTGCCTCATTAGGGTCTTCATAGGTGAAGGGGTCAATATATATCTTCATGCCTGGGGTCACTGGGGGACAAGACCAGGCTGGGTTACATGGGCAGGCTCCAGAGGTGCACACATGGAAAAATGGCAGGTAGTCCCCCCCGGGGAAGGATGCTCCTATATGGCCCCCTTCTGAATTCACCTGACCCATCTAGGTCTCACTGAGTTGATGGGCAGCAAGTAGAAAGGTGCGGGGTGGGGATGGAGATCAGAAAAAGGACAAATAGGTTCTAGTCTTGTTCCAAGATCACAGATCACTAATAGCTTTCTGGAGCAGCTAAAAGGCTTTGGGATCGACTAGCGGCGTCTGGTTTTGATAACGGCATAGAATTAAAGGCTGGATAGGTTTGCGGTCCTGTGATACAGAATCCAGGTGCAAGAACAAGAAAGAGGAAGTCGTAAACGAAAAGAGGGCTTGGAAGATGGCTCAGTGGTGAGCCTACCACACAAGCACAAGGACCTGAGTTCAGAACTCTGGTACCCACGTTAAAGCCAGGGCAGGAGTATGATCATGTAATCCCAGCATTGGGGTTTGGGGCACGTGGATGGAGGTGGGTGGATCCCTGAAGCTCAACAGCAGCTAACTTAGTCAAACTGATGAGCTTCAGTTTCGGTGAGACTCTGTCCCCCTAGATAAAGGTAGGCAGCTTGACACTAACCTTAGCACTCACAAACATGCATACATCTATACGAACAAGCACACATGCTCATATTAACAAATACACCACAATACACAAACACACACATTCACGCGCACACGCACATGCACACTTACAGCCAGGTCCATGAGCCCGTGGGTGCCTCACTCACCACATCTTGGGTATCCTACACCCCTGTATCCTCACTAGCTGAGGCTCAAGCCTTTCTGGATCCCTGGACTCCTTGGTGAGCAGCCTGAAGCCAGATTCAGGACACCCTCATTTCATTCCTGACCTGCTATCAATGTTTATGTGTGGATTCAGAGAGAGAATCTGAACAGTCTGGGCAGCAAAGTCCCCTTCTGACCCGCCATGAGTCACTAAACTGCTGTGACGGAAGGAGGGCTATCAGGCTGTCTTCCCCTTCCGACTTGGTATCCCGACACCCAGGCCTTCGTCTGGGCTCCCAGCTCCCCACTCCCATTCTCCTCCATGCTGGAAGCTGGAGCCCCTGGGCCCTCCTCATAGGCCACCAACCCAGCTCAGCTGTGTGACCCTGGAACTATATGATGGCTGTTCTCTGCTTCTACTTCAGACAGCCCATGAATCTGGGCGTCCAGGCCCTTCTGCTTGTGTGACCAGTAAAGTTTTATTGGCACTCAGACATGCTCACTGATTTTATACCAGGGATGCAGGGTGGAGCACTAGAAGAGACCCATAAAAATGAAACATCTCAGCATATGGCCAGCCCTAGCTCTAATACATTAGTTATGGTTGTGACTGTGTGTGTATTCTTGTGTGGTGCATGCAAGTTCATGTGTGCATACATGTTCTCACTTGGCCCTTTCAGTCAGGGGTTACAAACTGAGTCTATGAGCCTTTTGGCAGCCCCTGGATATGTTCTTAGATGCCCAAAGACCCCCAGGAATAAAGTATAATTATTACTGACTTGTTTTTGAATTAAAATAGTAATTCATGAGTTGGCAAGAGGACTCACTCAGTGGGTAAAACTGCTTGCTGCATGAGCGTGACAACCAGAGTTTAATTTCTGGAAACGATGTTAAGAAAGTAAAAACAAAAAGCCAGACATGGTGGTAAACACCACTAATTCCAGTTCTCTCAAGGAGAGACAGGCGGTAGAGAAAAGGGAATCGCCTGGAAGTCTGTGGAGCCTGCAACATGGCTGGAGCAACACGAGAGGTCCTGCCTCAGTGAGGAGGGAGGACAGAGCTGAGGCCAAAACCTCGCCCTCTGATCTCCACACGTATATATGTGCACATCAATGCTTAAACATACTCATCTATATATACACCATAATAACAAATAAAAACTGAAGGACAGAACTGAGCCACATTATTTTAAAAAAGAAACGTACAAAGTCCAGAATTATGGTAATAAATATGACAAAAAATAAAATAGTCTTGAAAAATCCATCACTGAGTATACATGACTAGATTTTTCAGCTGCGGAATGTTATAAATGGGGATGGGGAGGTGGCTCAGTGGGTACAAGTGCTGGATCCAGCAGCATCTATAATCCCAGCACTTCGATATGGAGATGGTAGGAAGGGACAGGAACGGATAGGAAACTCCCTGGAAGCTCAGGGGTTAACCAGTGTGGAGCATGCTGTGGAAAAACAAGAGATTGCTTCAAAGTAGAAAACAAAGCCCAACATCTAAGGTTATTCTCCATCCTCTATACATACACTGTGGCGTGTATGGTCCTGCATTTACACACATGCACATTACACACACATACACTGTTTTTAAATAAGAAACTTATGGGACTGGAGAGATGGCTCAGCAGTTGCGGGTGCACACTGCTCTTGCAGGGGACCCAAGTTTGGTCTCTAGCACCCATGTTGGGTGGCTCAAAACCATTCCTATCTCCAGCTCCAGCAAATCTGGTGCCCTCTTCTGGCCTCCACAGGCACCTGCACTCATGGGCACATACCCCAACGCATATGCACACATACACACAATGTTCTTCTGGCCATATGCTACAAAACTTTCAGTAGAGTTGTATAGGAGCCCAAGATTTCACAAAGACAATAAGAAGCATCAGCCAAGAGCGAGGGCCTGGGAGGAGAGCTGGGCACAGGCTCTCGTCTCATTGCTCTCTCCCTGGCACACATCTCAGAACTCTGCACACAATAGATGCTCCAAGTCGGGAGAACGGAGGATCCAGGCAACAAAGATGAATTATGGTAGCAGCAGCTGTTACTCGCTGAGCCTTTATCTGAGCCTGACACTGTGCCAGGCTCTGTGCATGTATTTTCTTACCTCCCCCTCATCCTCTCAGGAGCTGGGAGACAGAACTTCAGCTCCACGAAGTCAAGCACTCAGGCCAAGGTCGCGTATCTCAGGGCCCCCAGGTCTTTCAGCTTTGAGCATAGGTGTGATTCTTTTTCTTCTTAATTTTTAAAAGGTACTTATTATTTTTAATTACGTGTAGGTGAATGCATCCAAATATGGCACGTGCCTGCAGGTGCCAGAGGTATTGTATTCCTTGGAGCTGGAGTTACAGACAGCTGTGAGCCACCTGATGTGGGTACTGGGAACTGAACTCCTGGATGTCTGGAGGAGCAGCAAGTGCTCTTAACTGCAGAGACATCTCTCCAGTCCCAAGGTTGATTCTCTTTTATTTATGGGACTGGGGATTGAACCCAGGGCCTTGCATCCCTTTTACATGCTCAGCAAATGCTCTAAGACAGAGCTATAGATGCCCAGACCTCAAGTATGGTTCTGTTTTACTAAAAACATTATTTTATAGGTATGAGTGTTTTGTGCCTGCATGTTAAGTTTGTGCACCCCACGTATGCAGTGCCAGTGGAAGCCAGAAGAGGACATTGGATCCCTGGAACTGGAGTTACAGTGTGAGCTGCTATGTGGGTACTGCACAACCTGAGCCTGCGCAAGGGCAGCCGGTGCCCTTAACTGCTAAGCCACTGCTCCAGCCTCCAGGATAGTTCTTTGTCATGATTCTCACTCCTGCTGGCCCTGGCATAGGCTCCCCTAACCTGGCATATGAGACGCATCTCCTTCCTTCCAAGTCAGCCTCCTCAGAGCCAGGAGAAGCCATTTTTGCTCAGACACAATACCATGGGTCATGGGACCTGACTTTCAGCTTCTTGAGTTTTAGCACAACTCCCGGAGATCCTTTCTGACAGGCCAGCTGGGCAGGGAGGGCAGGAATGAGGTCACTCCAGGAGCAAAGGAGACTCTCAGTAAATGTCAGCACCTTTATGGACAGCAGCCAGAGGCCATCCCAGCCTTAGCAGGGAGCATGTCAGGATTGTGGGGTTGGGGCTGGGGAGACAGGAGGACAAAGGCAAGCACCTCTGCTTGGCACTGCCTCACTCAGCCCTCTGCTCAGGTTTGGATAATGTCTGTTCCTTAGCAGGTCTATATGTATGATGAGGCTTAGTTCTCAGCATGGCATGTGAGGTGGTGTGTCCTTTAAGAGACAAATCACCAGAGCACAACCCTGGGGAGAAATGGAGGCAGGTTTGTGGGGTCAGGGAGACTAGTTAGTTCTTCCAAGAGATTAAAGAACAAACCCAGTCCTCCTACTGGTCCTTCTATGTGGCTTCTCCCTGTCACACAGGCTCCTGCCACGAAACCCTCCACCGCAGGGCCTTCAGCAGAACAATGGATTGAGAGCTTGATTAACCTCCTTTCTTTACACCCGATGCAGCCTCAGGTGTTTTGTGACAGCAGCAGACAGCAGACTGAAGACACTAGCTAATACAGATCCTTTCCTAGGGGCTCCAGGTACATCTCAGCCCTTCTTGCTTCTGAGGTCATGCTGTTCTCACCCCCTCAGGGCACCTCCTCTTCCTCCCTGAGACCATATCAAACGCCATCTCCTCTGTGAAGCCGGACTGGACTTCTCCAGAAGTGGCTGTGGCCTTCCTTAGGTACCACAGCCCTTTCTCCACTGTCAATCTATGACCCCAGTGTCACAGCTCCCTGCATCCCCTTTCTTGAACTCTCTGGTGCCTGGGGCATTTTACCTTCTCCCCTCTCCGCCAGGAAGGCAGAGGCAATTCTGTCTTGTTCCAGCTCAATTCCCAGGACTGGTATATCGCAGGCACTCAACGAATGCTTACGGTAAAATCCCAGTGATTCACTTATGAACCTTCTTCTCATTTAGGGTCATGAACACCTTTGAGAATCTGGTGAAAGCCACACACAGTTCTGCCCCTTGGAGAAGGATTCCCACGGTTGTGTACACTCCCATATTCCACATGCAATACTGGAGTTCACAGGCCACGGCAAGCTCCCATGGTCTAATCCCAGGTCAGAAGCCCTTGCTGTAGTAGTGTGTTTGCTTGACCATGAGTGTGAAGCCGGTATACAGCAGATACTTAATAGACACTTGCTGCATAAACATTCAGTGTACATTTATTGGGTATGAATCTGTTCTATAAAGTTGGCAGTTTAAAACCCAGTCATCCCTTTCAATAATCCTGTCAGGTAAAATACTATCAGCGTTAGCATCTGCCTGTGTCTAACTTACAAAAATAGCAACTTCAGCCAGGCAGCGGTGGCTCATGCCTTTGATGTGCACACACCAAAGGACAACCTTGAGTGTCATTTCTCAAGAACCACGCACCTTGGGTTTTCTGAGACAGAGTTCCTCACTGGAATGTGCAGGTTAGGCTAGGCTGGCTGGCCAGTGAGCTCCAGAAATCCACCTATCCCCCTTCCCCCTGCAAGTGCTGGGATTACAATCGGGTACCACCAGGCTTGGCTCTTTTCCCTCACAGGTTCTGGGGATCAAATCAGGTTCTCATGTCTCATTACATGTACTTAGTGAGCCATTTCCATAGCCCCGGAGGAATTTTCTAAAGGACTTAGCAGAGCATTTGGCAAACAGAAAGCAACAAATAATTGTTGCCTCATGTAAAGTAGACTTGGCTTTTATGAAATGTTACTATTATAAGGACACTATTATTATGCTAAGATCCACGGATTCATCCGAAGGACCCATCATCACTCTTTCTATGGTCTACAGAAGTATACCAAGACTTAGAGAGGCTCAGTGTTTTTCCCCAGGTCAAGGAACACAGCCCACCGCTCCCTACTACACTGGCCAGTGGCACAGCAGAGATGAGAAATAATATTAGCCCCTCTGGTTCCACATCCAGACATCCCAGAACTTGGTCCCCACTCAGCACATGCTGATGGCTGGGAAATCTGAGTCTGCATTGGTGACCCCCAGCCAGTCACACACTTCTGCCTCTCCACATTCTCCTTCACCTTGGCTGTGTAGGGCTGTTGGAGTGGGACACGGGATCCGGGACACATCTTGTGTAGCTCCGAGAGTTCAGGGCAGGGAACAAAAACTCAGTATTAAAGAATATTGATTTCTGAACAAATCCTGGGGTCTATTTTAAAATTTTCAAGCCAGGCGGTGGTGGCGCACGCCTTTAATCCCAGCACTGAGGAGGCAGAGGCAGGAGGATCTCTGTGAGTTCAAGACCAGCCTGGTCTACGGAGTGACTTCCAGGACAGTCAACAGCCAACAGCCTTTGCTGGGACTGTAACAGACAGTCAGTCCCCAGATCGGAACTTGCTGGAGCTTCCCACTTCACTTAGAGGAAAAGCCAAAGTTCTACATGATTGACAACCACTCTCACCCCCCATTCCTACCCCACTCCATTCTAGCCAAGCCTGTTTTACCTACAAGCTTCTGGCTAACCCCCTACCCTGCAGTGTTCTGATTGGCTATTCCCCTGGCCTGCAGCGTTCTCGCTGGCTAGTTCCCTGGCCTGTTATGCTCTTCCCTGGAGATAGCTGATCAGCCCATTCTCCTAATCCCTTTGTGCCTTGGTTCAAATGAAACACCATCAATAAGGCCCTCGCTTAACCCTCCACTTAAGCCCATACACACCCCCCAGCTCTGGGTCCCTCTCCCCACATAGCTCACTCATGTGTGGTACCACTATGTACTGGTGACCTGTTAGTGCCAGGAAGACATGTTTAGATCTGGAGAAGACCTGCTACATCTGCAGGGAGACCAGGCAAGAGTTAGGACAGTGTCTGGTAAGATGGGTGGTACTGGCTCAGGTGAGGGCTAAGATCAGAATAGATGGAGTAAGGGAAAGATGGTGGTGGTGCATGATGGGGTCCTCACAGGAAGTGCACATGGAACGGCAGCTGCCAGAGCCAAAAAGTCAGAGGCAGCCTGGCACATCCAGGACCTCCTTGGCCTTAGAGAGGGGCAGGAGAGACGACTCAGGTATGAGGACTGGAGTTCGGATCCCAGCACCCATGTAACAAGCCAGGCGTCCCACAAGCACCTGTCACTCTAGTTCCAAGGGATGTGATGTCCTCTGTGTGGGCATAGGTTGGTGTACATCCCACAGACACCCCACCCCTTCATGGCTCATACGCGCACACAGATGCATATACTCATGCACACACACACACACACACACACGTATTTAAACACGAGTAAATCTCGAAGGAGAAGAAGTAGGAGGAGGAGGAGGAGGAGGAGGGGCGGCAGCAGCTGGCGGGGTCTCCGTGGAAGTGGAAATGGCAGAGGAGGGCCCCAGGGTGGGTACGTACTGTGGCCGCTGGTGTAGTGCTGCAGCTTGTCGGTGTACTCTGAGTCGGCGCGCTCAAACCCCCGTCTTCTGGAACAAGAGCAAAGGGCTGGAGCCACCTGGAGGCACCCAGGGGGGTGGGAGCCACAGTGGGTGATAGGGAGAGAGGGTGGGCAAGCCTTTAAGGCCACTTCCTTGTTGGAGGTGGTGGTGTCTAGGCCTGTCCTTTGTCTGCTTTTACCTCATCCCTCTTCCCCTTCCCATTTCTCCCTCCTCAGACCCGGGCTCACTCTGTCCCTCCGTCCTTACTGCAGCCAAGTCCCTTTAAGGTAGACGCGAAGTCCTCAGATTCTGGTTGTGGCTTCTGACCCCACTAAAACCAGGAGCTCTGTCTGTCTGCCTGCCTGTCTGTCTGTCTGTCCTCCTGTCCGCCTGAGCTTACTCTGGCCCTCGGTTGGGAAGTGGGGTTAGGGGGAGCTCTTTAGGCAGGAAGCATCTTGGCATCCTGTCCTATAGCCATCAGGGATTGGCTCCTTCCTCCTGTCTCTGCCTTGCCACCCCCACCCGTGCCCAGCCCCTCCATCTTTTCATCACTTCAGCCTCTGCCTGGAATGAATGGCATCTTCCTTCACCATCCCCACGGCTCCAAGCTTCCTGCCAGCATCTTGCCCACTGTTCTGAAATGGTCCTCACTGCTGAAATGCTTCCGTGTGCAACCCTGTCCGTGTACTTGTCTGGACAGCAGCTGATGCTACTGTATGGATGGTTGGCGGTCACCTAAGGTATCCTGGCCTACTGGAGCCTCTCCCTGCCGCCAGTGGCTGTCAGGAAGTCTCCATTTGCTCCCGACTATGGCTGAAGACCAGGCCCAGAAGCTGCCACCCACCTGTTACATACGATGGCAATGACGACCACAGCGATGAGGAAGACTAAGCCAGCAGCGGAGGAGCCGACGATGAGGGGCAGCTTCTCCTTGATGCTGGTCTGGTACTCGGCTGCATAGACAGTGCAGTGGTTATTTCCGTCTGGTCGGGGGGGCCTGACCCTGCCTCCACCCTCCACCATGACGGTCTCTGAGGTCACCCCAAAGACTCCCCTCTTGCTTCCAATCGAGCAACTGCCTCATATTGAGCAGGAAATGAGACGTGAGAAGGAATAAGCCTACGACTGGCTTCAATCCTCACCTCTTCATCTATAAAATGGGCACAGGGACCCCTGCACTCCCACGCTGACATGGTAATACGCGAGAATGGCTGGGACCCGGCTCCCTGGGCAGGAATCCCTGACCATGCTGGGCAAGCAGTCTACCAGCTGAATAATGGGGAGACTGACAGTTCTCACCCCACAGGATTGTGGGTAAATCTATGACAATCCATGGTTCACAGTGAACACTCAACAAGCTTGGACTCCTATTACTGTTCTCAGGGTCACTCACAGAGACGTCCGTAACAGCCCTGTGATACGCTCCCTACAGTGGTTTCTCATGCTTGAGGAAACCAAGCTTGTGGAGGTCAGAACAGGCTTGAGGCGACCCAGGAAAGAAGAGGTCAGAGCCAGCATGTGAGCTCAGCTGCCGGCCCCGAGGCTGGGATGTGACGGACAGTGCACAGATGCACTTGGCATCGGCTGGGCGGGTGCCAGCTACCCCAGCACCCTCCTCCACAGTATTAGTAAGAAGAGGAGTTGTCAAGGTCAGGGGGTGAGGTCATTTTGGGCTCTCAGTGCCTGCACACGGCCTGGTATACAGCAGGAACAGAATTGTGGAGTTAATAAAGGGGTCTTGGGATGGTGCCCAGTGCCTTGCCAGTGAGCTCATCTGACACTGAGGAAAGGGCAGAGGGCAGAGGAGGCAAGTGTTGGAAGACAGGTGAACATACAGGAAAGGCTCTACAGCAGGACAAGAAGTTAGGGTCATCCAAGAACCTCTGGACGGTTTAGCCAGATGAGAGCCAACGCCCATGTTCCAAGGCTGGAAGCTAAGACTCGACACTGAAATCTAACCGTAAGAATGTGTTGTCCTAGAACTTGGCTGGCTGGTGACAGGCCCATGGAAAGTATACTATTCTTAATATCTATGTCCTCAAACCAATTCTGAGCTAGGTCCCTGAGACCTATATATGTTTGATGTTCTTTTTTTTTTTTTAAAAAAAGACTTATTTATTTATTGTGTGTACAGTATTCTGCCTGCATGCATGCCTGCAGACCAGAAGAGGGAACCAGATTTCATTACAGGTGGTTGTGAGTCACCATGTGGTTGCTGGGAATCGAACTCAGGACCTCTAGAAGAGCAGGCAGTGTTCTTAACCACTGAGCCATCTCTCCAGCCCATGTTTGATGTTCTTGATGATGATGGTAACATAGTTATCATCTCTTATGGATGAAAGGACAGGGCCAGGAGAGATTAGGGGCCTTGTTTTCAGCTACACAATTAGGGCCAACCGAGAAGTGGGATCCAATCTGTCTTTCTTCAGAAGTCCACACCTTTATAATCTACCATTCCTCAAGATTATTAAAGCAGAAAAAGGTACTCAGAAACCATATAATCCAAGACTGGAAAACAAACATAGCACATAGACCCATTCCTTTGTCCAGGGCAGACATTACTAATTGATCCCAGCACTTCTTTCTGTTGAGCTTAGATGGGGTTTTGGAATTCTCAGTCTCATTGCAATTTGCTAGAATTATAAATGGGTACAATGTTCATTATCTCAATTAAGCACAATGCTCTTTTGTTTTATAGATAAAAATCCAGAGCAGGGAAAGAAAAGGATTCAATTAGCATGGATTTGCAAAGTAGGTCTGACCTCTTAAGCATCCCAGAAGATGAAAGAGTCTTGCTGATCTGTGGTAATAGAGAAGTAGGGACCTTGCCACAGAACTCCAGGCTCTATGGCTAGCTGTGCAGTTTGTGCCATGCATAGAGGTTCACATCTGGGAGCAAGGGAGGTGGCTGCTTTGTGGTTGGCACAGGCTTCCTAGGAATGGAGTCTCACATTTGTGCCTTTGTTCACTGATTAGGGGGCTGGTGCTTGGTGCTCTCGACTCACCTTCTGTCATGGTTTGGAAGTACATCTTGCCGCTGTAGCGCCCATAGCCTGCAACGGTGCGTGCCCGCACCTGGAAGACATAGATGGCGCCGGCTTTGAGTCCCTGCACGGTGACCGTGTTGGTGGGGCTTTTTATGGCTGTGGCGTTGTACTCACTGAGCTCCTGCTGGGGAACAGAAAAGACGGTTAAAGAGAGCAGGAGCGTATGGAGCCTACTGTCTTCTGCTGCTCCTTGGGGTAGGCCCTCTCTGGTGGTAGGTTTACCCAGTCAAGCCTGTGCTGAGTAACTCAAGAATGCTTCCCATGGGGAGCAGAGAAACATATATAGCTCAAAAAAACAATTAAAAAACTAAAATAAATGAGTTAAGAAAGAATGCTTCTCATGGAAGCAATTGTATGATCTTTCTGTCTTGGATCTGGACAGGTAACCTGCTTTGGCCGTGTGAACACTCTAGTAGGCATGGAATGAGCATGGTGCAGACTTTGCATGTGTCTGATGGTCTGGCTCGGCTTCCATGATCCCACCATCTGCCAGAAAAGGGGCTTGAACCAGGTTCCAGAACCAGAGAATTGTAGCTGGTTCCAGAACAAAAGATGTGTGAAGACCTTGATCCAACGAGGGCCATTTAACTCACAGACGCAAAAGGAAGAAAAGTAGCTACCTCTTGTTGTATGCCATGGTGTTTGTGGGACTGCTTGTTTTGCAGCATTATCCCAGCAAGAGCTGACTAATACACAAAGGCTGAGTGGCCACTGTGCGCAAACTCTAAAGACTAGACGAAGTTCTTGAAAGCTGCAGTGGGGAGACCCATTCATCACTTCTGCATCTGACTCTGCCCTGGGCCTTCTTGTTTGTTTTGAGATGGGGCCTCATGTAGCCCAGGCTAGCTTTGAGCTTGATATGTAGTAGAGGATAACTGACTTTGATCTTCCTACTTCAACCTCCCAAGTGCTGGGCTTATGGATGTGCACCACCATGCCTGGTTTTCTGTGGGTTCTTTGTGTTTCAGGCAGGCACTATAGCAGCTGATCCTCACCCCATTGCTTTGATGGGTTTTGCAGAAGATTCTCTGCTTGGTTGGTCTTAGCACCCTAGGGGGAGGTAAGAACCAAGGCTTGGAGAGGGACAATGACATTCAAGTTCACACATACTGGCTAGTGGCTGCTGTGGGGCTCCAAACTGGGCTCCACATGGAGACACTGCTAGTGCCCAGGACTTTGAGTACCACTATTCTGACTTCCTGGGTGTTGCCCCAGGCAACCTGAGAACCTGATCCAGCTGAGTGGTGGGATTGCAGATGTGGCAGGGCTAGACTCAAGTGGTGCACATTTACTTACACATCTGCCAGCTGCCTGATACACCTTCCCCAAGCACTTTCCTTATATGGGGCCTTGGCTGGGTGTTAGGGTCCCATAGGAAGCTGAACACCTTCCCCAAGCACTTTCCTTATATGGGGCCTTGGCTGGGTGTTAGGGTCCCATAGGAAGCTGAGGGGTAATCCCCAGCCTCAGAGCTCTGGATCTTATCTAAGACAAAGACACCCGGCCACACAGGTGGATCAGGTACGTGTCCCATATAATTGTGCCTGTTTTTGTTTTTGATTGTTTATTTTAACCCGGATGCTGGGAACTGAACTCAGGTCCACAAGCTTGCATGGCAAGCACTTTACCAAATGAACAGTCTCTCCAGCCCCCGTGTTGTAATATAACTATATCCTATGCTCTATTTGAGGGGGGCTACATTAAAATTTCCTTCATTCAAATTTAATCTTGGGCCCCATATTTTTATTTATTTCTGTGGATGGGGCCCATAGCCTCAGACAGGCTAAGAGAATGTTCTACCACCAAGACGCACACCCCCTACTGGGTTTTATCAGGTGACCCCCCCCTTCCTTGGACACTAGGCTCTTGACCAGGTTCCCCATTCTCAAGTGTTCTTTCTTCCTCCATCCAGCTGCTCAAGGCTCAGCACAAATGCTAACTCTGATGGGGACCTTTTGGATGTCCCAGAAGGAAGTATTGGGTGAGAAACCTCTTCTATTGTTCTGATGCATGTGCCTATCTTCTCTGAGCATGTGGGTTTCCTGAAGGCAAGGGCCACACAGTCTATCTCTAGATTCCCCTCTCAGTACACAGTAGGTGCACCTTATGGTTATGCACGGCCAACCTAGGACGCAATTCCAATACTGGCCAGTAGGTGCCGCTGTGCAACATGATATCTGCTCCAGCACAAAGGTTGGAGTTCACCTTCTGGGTGGGCGTCACTTTAGGGACACTTGGGGTTTGAATTCCTGACGATATGAGGACAAGAGATGTAATCTTGGTGTCATAGGTTTCCCCCAGGGGGCAGGCAGTAAGGAACCAGATTGCATCCCTAAAGCCAGGCACAGGATGGAGATGGTACCAGATGCTGTTTTAAATACCAAGTTTCTCCTCTATTTAGTTACAGTGTCTTCTCAGGATGGACCTTTTGCTTCCCTGAGGCTTGGTGTGCCAATCCAGAAAATGGAGCAATAAATTCCAAGCCTCTAGAATAGATCAGGAAGTACATGGCTCATGGAGATGCCAGGCAGACTGTATTGGTCTAGCCTTTTCTCTGCAGCACCATTGGCTGGGTATTACCGGGTGGTGGGAGAAATGCAGGAAAGCCTACCAGGGCCACTAGATAGAACCAGACCCCAGCCAGCCGGCCTGCTTGCTTGTTTCCTCCCTCCCTTTCCATTTTGTTGAGCCAGACTCACACAACCCAGGCTGGGCTCACTACATATCTGAGAATGTGACCTCGAACTCCTGATCCCTCTGCTTCTACCTCCAGAGTGTTGGGATTACAGGCACGTGCCACCGTGGCTGCTTTTCTGCAGCCTTGGCCTTCTCATTTGTGAAGGAAGGTAACAGCAGTGGGTTAACCTTCACGTGACTGTGGAGATCCCACAGAATACGGCTAGAGCTTTTAGCACACAGATAGGGTCACTGTGCACAGTAACTCTGTAAATGTCAGCTCTCAAGGCCACTGTCGTCAACGCTGCCGTTAGCTAGCATATCCTTGCTGACGTTCACAAAACAGGTAAAGGAAGGCTGAGATGAGTGATGCCCAGACTTCCCTGGACAGATCCTGTTCCATTTCATCAAACCCAGCTGGACAGTTCATCCCGTCCTCCGTCCTTGTTCACTGTCTGGAGTGCTCGCCTCTCTCAGCTACTGACTGGACATTGCTGCTGATTGACATTGACACAGATGTCAGGGCCCCTGCATCGTCCAGTGATTCTGCTCCCAGCTGTGGAGAGCACGAACCCATGGGCTCTGGGAAGCTGCTAAAGGAGGCCACCTCCCCAGGGACACTGGACGGATGGAAAGGCGCGGTGTGCAGTGAGCCTGCTGCCCATTTATCCAGCGGCCTCAGGCAACGGGAAGGCAGCAGGTCCCAGCGGACCAGGGGAAATGCCAAGCTAAAGAGACCTGAGAGTTACTGTCATTCCTAAAGGGCCTTTCTGGAGACAGAGGAGTGGAGAAGGTAGGGGTGGCCCTCTGGTGGTGGTGGTGGTGGTGGGGGAGGCCCAGTGTTTGTTCTACAAAGTTCTGGAGCCTTCCAGAAAGGAATAGATTGTGGGCACAGGGCAGACCCTAGATGCCACAGCTTGCCAAATATCCGTCTCACTATTGCAACCTGGCCGCCCTTTCCAGGTGATGCTAGAAGGCTGGACATCAGAGAAGAAGCTGACCTTGCTGCCCTGATACCACCATGAGTTACTCCTGCCTCTTCTTGGGTCCTGAATGATCCCAGGCTGCACCCTCTGCTTCTACTGACCCTGGTACATGCTTGAGGGCATCCTAAGCCTCCTTGGCAAGTGCCACACCTACAACTGCAAATCCCCTGCCTCTGGAACCAGCACCATCCCCAGGGCCATCCTGTCAAGTCCCTGGGGGACCTGGGCATTCAAATGTCTAAACCTGCCATCTCTCACCCACTCTGCTGCCAGCCTTCTCCCAACTCAAGCAGTCACTGTTTCTCACTTGGTGTCTCAAACGTCTCTGAGCCCCCCTCCCCCAGGCTATTCTATTCTCCACACAGTGGATGGATAGATCTTTAACACAACTGGAGTCAGATCCCAGCATTCCAGAACCTTCTATCACACCCTAAATCAAATCCAGACTCACCAGGCCTGGAAGGCGGGACACGCCCCAGCCGGCCTCCCTTTCCAAACGCTCCCCTGTGGCGTGCACTCTCTCTCGAGCCCTGTTGTTCTTGTTGAGATCTGAGATCATTTCTCTGTTCTCCTAAAGCAGCTGCTCGGCTCTGCCCCAGGGCCTTTGAGCCTGCTGTGCCCCCGCTGTCTGAATAACTGCCTTCATCACGCACACATCTCTCTGTTAAATTCTCTCAGCTTTCAAGCCTCAGCTCAAATGTCCAGGATACAGGCCTCCCTCACTCATGCCAAGACTGTGAGCCACTCTCAGATACCTCTCACCCCTGAGACCTTTGCTGGCCCTTCTGAGGCGGACACCGCACGTGACTATTAGTGTCTCAGCCTTTGTTCTTTCCCAGACGGCCTGCAGCCAGAATCAGCTGGTGACGGTGGAACTCAAATGGCCCAGTGGTTGGCCTTTGGTGGCACATACACCCCAGGCTCTGAGCAGAGGGGCTAACAGAAGGGGACCTGGGCCTATCTGCATGTCGCTGGTCACCTCAGAAGTGACCTTGGGAGAAAACTGGGAGGCAGGAGCACCAGGAAGACTGAGAAAGAGAGATGGAGGCCGAATCCTTTCTCTGCCACTCAGCATGGAGTGTTGATAGGCCATCGTGTCTCTGTGCCTCGGTTTCTCCTTCCTTTAGGGCCTGAGGATGACTGTGGCGATGGTTTGGTGTGCCCTGCACACAGTGAGGACTATGAGAAGTGGCTAGGCGGCCACTTGGCTGCTGTGGAGCCATCTAGCCCCCAAGAAAGTAGAGCAGTGGTACCCCAGCTCACACCGCTGCCAGGCTCCCAGGCGTGCCTGTTGCGATAGGAAATGGGTCGCAGTCGGGACTGCACTGGGATTCCTCATTTCCGCTCTGATCTTTGGGGAAAAATACTTTTTCATTTAATCACAAAGCTTCTTAATTAGTTTTTCCCCCTTTTTCTTTCTTTTCTTAAAAAAAAAATTTAGTTGCTAAGTTGCCCTGCTGGAGGGAGCAGAGACACTGGCCTTTGCAGGCAAAGCTTCCTGGACCAGTTCCCCAGGCCGGCAGCCCCTTCAAAGTACTTCAGGACCCAGTGAGATGCAGGACTGCTTTACTCAGTAGAGACACTCAGGGCCATCAGTGGCCCCTTCCCCAACATATCCAATAGGCACCCACGGAGCACTTACTGGCACCCACAGAGCATCTACTGACACCCACGGAGCACCTACTGTGTGCTAGGCGGTGGGATGCGGCAGAGCTAAAGTCTCACTCTCGCTGAGTTCACTAGGTGCTCAGTGCTATCAGCAGGGGGCGGAGAGAAGGTGAAATGTTGGCCCTAGCGAAGGCTTCCCAGAGAAGGTCAAGACGTTTGTGCTGAGACACCAGAGGATGAACTGGGGCTGGACAGGATGGCGAGGGGCAGGAAGTGACTGGCCCAAGCAGCCAGCCTGCCTCTGGTTCTTGTTTCATTCACAGATTCCATCCCTCACTCTCTGCTTCATCCACACAATGCTCTCATTCATCATCCACACCCTCGGGAGACCAGGGCCCCTGCTGCCAGCATGCGGGCTTTCCAGAGAAGAGGCAAAGACTGTGGGAAGATGGTCGCCGATGGTAGCGATGGCGGTGCTTCTGTGGTACCCCCAAAGATGTTGACAGGCAGATATGTGAGACCAGAGGGGGAAGGATGTGATGGAGAGGTCAAAAGCTGGGGTGTAGGGGAGAAGAGGGAATCATGGGTGTGCAGGTCTCTCTGGGGGAGACAGCTGGTTGCAGTGACTGGGCACAATGATGATAGGTTCATACTTCACCAACCCACCTATCTGTCTCTCGGCTTCTGGTTCAGGGCTCTGGGGAGAAGGTGATGGCCACCGAGAGGAGGCCCTGACCTCCTGGACATACAAAGAAGCCAGTGACTAGGAGCACTTGAATGAGAGGCCAGGCTAGTGTGTGACAGAAGATATCAGCTACCCCAGAAGCTGATGGGGTGCTAGGGCTAGGTGAGGTCTCAGAAAGTGGGCTTCAGTGGACTCAACTGTCACTATCTCCAGCTGTCTTCTCTGAGCCTTGATGGTACAACTCCCCATCCTCTTCTTGCTCCCTGTGGGCTCACCCCCAACGAAGGACTTCCTATCAGTCACTGACACCTTTGTCTGAACAGAAGTCTACGTCTCGTTTCCTATGTCTCCTTTCCCTGGGGTCCTTGTGGTCTCTCCGCATACAAGGAAGAGAGGTTACCAGTCAAAGGAGCAGGTCACGGGGCCTCTGGTGTTTATCCGTATGGGAGGCCAACCATTATGTCCACTCTTTCAGCCCTGTAGTGTGTGGCCCCCACACTCTCTGGTCCCATGTGGTACTGCCCTGAAGTATTAGGCCACCCTGTAGGAGGCAGAGCAGGGGAGCAGGGAGGCCAGGGATGTGCCTGGCGCTGGTTCCTGCCTCCTCTCTTTCTCCTCATGGTCCCTGTGGAGTGCCAGACTTCTCTCCGACCCATCCATGTGGAAATGGAAGCTCAGAGGAGAAAGGACACCTGCCTGAGGATTCAAATGGGTTCTGGCTGATTAGTCTTCCGTGCATGCGTGGCTTCCAGCCACAGATCCCTGAAACTGTTTTAAAGGGTCAGGGAGAGATCTCCCCATGCAGCCAGCCCAAGGTGCCTATGTGCAGACAGCGCCACAGCAGACCCAGAGTAGCTTTCTTCTCTCAGCCTTTATGAAGAACCCTCTTGTCTGCTGTCGGCTCACTGTGGGTGCACCCTCAACTGTGGACCTCCTATTCGTCACTGATACCTTAGTTTAAACAGAAGGCCATCTTTCCCAGAGGCACCTGTAGTCCCTAGGAGTTCACCACTACACAGGTGCTTTTAGTAGGTGAAGGCCAGTTATTATCACTAAGTACAGTTTTTTATTACTGTTTTTCTTTTCTTTCTTTTTTTTTTTAAACAACAGTTTATTACAACCTCAGGATCTCTGAGGTCAAGTCCAAAGAGGTCTTGATAGCAAAAGGATCGAGTGTGGCATGTCATTCAGATAGTTTGCTGGTCCCCTGGACCAGAACAGTGAGACTCAGAGAGGTCAAGGCACCTGCCCAAGACTTCACAGCAGGGGCAGTAGAGGCAATAAAGAGCCAGGCAGCCTGATCCTGAGGCTGGCGGGAACTGGACCTCTAGGCTGACATTGGGAGAGGAACTCTTGGGGAGTCGGGGCAGGTGGGGACACAGATACCTTCTCATAATATTGTAGTTCGTAATCCAGGATCACACCGTTGGGCTGGTCTGGCTGGGACCACGACAGGGTGATGCTGTCCACGGTGCGGCTCACCTGATGCATGATGGACACGGCTGATGGTGCTGTAAGAGAGGTCAGAGGTCAGGGGTCAAAATAGGCATGAGGAAGTGTGGCTTACTGGAGAAGGGCCTGGGTAGGTAGGGAACTGTGAGACCAATGAGGGGCGGGTACAGAAAGCAGGGCGGTGGGGGTCAGGGACCAGAGAAAGGACCGATAGGGGGTGCTGGACTGTGGTAGGAGCTGGGGTTTCTCTCAGGGCGATGACAGTGTGCCAGAACTAGAGGCGGTACGGTAAACACACTAACTGCCATTTTTCATACATGTTGAACCAGTCAGGTGTCTGCCACAAGAACCTTACCCTCAACCAAGTCCATCAAATAGTCAATCTACGAACCCCAGCCCACCAGCAATCTCTGTGTTCTCAGCAAGGGGGTTAAGAGGGGGATGTGGAGTGGGCTGTGCTCAGTGCTGGAAGGGCTGTCACAAATTATTTAGTCCCGTTTCTTCGTTTTGTATGCATGGAAACAAAGACCTCAAGAAAGCCAGGCGCCGAGCCCACGTCAATGCCATTCTCTGGTCCTTTCGTTCTTAGCACTCTAGTTTGGTTCTTGCCTCCTCCACCAGGGCACGCTGCACCTGCAGTGTGTCACAGGGACCCTGCGGAAGGGGGTACATAGTAGTAGGGACCAGGGCAGGAGATCTTCAAGAGCCCTGCTCTTCCTAGAGGGGGCCCATCCACGCCTGGGTTCCAAAGTGCCTCTCTGGCCTGGGTTTGTGGTCCCACGGGGGACTGAGGTCTCACAGGGCAGAGGAAATGTCTCCTAACCTCTTTCCTGGCGCTGTGATGGGCAGATTTCCCATCCAGGCCAACAAAGAGATTTTTGACCACTGATGCTAACACTTCTCCCAGGTCCTATCTTGCTTCCCGGGGCTTTGGCTGTACTGGGCACCAGCCCGGCTTAGTCCTTTGGGAGCTCAGGGGCCTCTGACTTTGGAGCTGACTTAACTATTTCCATTCTGCCTCGTCTCCCCCAGACTGTCCTCTGGCCAGGCTGCTCCAGCACTCTGCCTGTTTCCCCAGACCCCTCAGCCAAGAGGCCAGTGTGACTGAGTCCCGAGTACGGTTCTCGGAACTCCAGTTCTGCTCACTCCCCCACCACTCGCTGACCTGTGGCCTGGGCAGGGTCTTTCACCTCTAGGAGCCCCAGCTTCCACACCCCTGTCGTGTGCAGTAGGGTCACTGTATATATGGAGGGGATGGGTGTGTGAAGGCTGAGCAGGTAAGAAGACCTCCTGGGAATGCTAGGATCCTTCCAGAGGGAAGCCTCTCCACCCGGCCAGTCAGAGCCATACAGACTCACGGCAGAAAATGTGCTTCTTTCTGCCCGGTAAGCTCCCCTGCCCCTGTCCCCTAGGCCAGCACCACACGAGGTTCTGTAAAGAGGAACCAGAGAATCCAGACTGGAGCCAGGGCCCCGGATGCTGCTTCTGGAACCTCCAGTTTACTCCCGACTGCAAGGCCGAGTGGTAGAATGGGTCTTGTTGTTTACCCCTCCAGTGTAACAGGAAGTCCTGGCTATGCCTCACACTGCCTACCCACCCCCGAATGTTGACCTTGCAAACCTTCGAACCCGGACTCCTAAGCTGCTGCCAGGTGAAGCTGACTTTGCTAGGAAACAGAGCTTTCTCAGAGAGGAGAAGTGGTCTGCCCAAGGTCACACAGCAGGAGGCGGGTCCCTAGCAGCTGAGCCCTGGAGGGACACCTGGTCCAGTCATCAGGTCCTTTCACAGACCATGCCCAGGCCACACTCTCTTCACAGTCCCTTTAGCTGCAAGTCACAGACTGGCCTCTCTAGTGGGGTGGGAACCATGTCGCTGAAGCACGTGGGCCCAGCCTTTGGAGTCTGGCCTTGTCCTGAAGGCCCTGGGGTGTAACTGCCTGCTCCTCTGTCCACCCAGCTCACTTTCTTGGGGACCCTGTGAGCCCATGATGCCCACCCAGACGAGGTCCTGGTTACCCACACGGTCATTTTTCATCGGCTAACTCAGTTAACACGCATGTCGTCTGTGAGTTGGGCATTAAATTATACCCACTCATTAGAGGAGGAAATGAAGTTGGGGGGTGGGAGGGTGAAGAAACATGCCCAAGGACACGCATAGCAAGCAGTGTACCCCAGATTCCTCCCTCCAGTGAGACAGGCAGACGAGGGAAGCCTGCAAGGGCTTGTGAGGACACCTTATGCTCCAGACTGTAGACTCAAAGCCAATCTGCCCCCCTCCAGGCATGGCGGGTACCACAGGCTTGAGGGGTCTGGGTCGCAGCAGGCTTGGGTTTCAGGCAGATCCTGGGCTCTGAGCCCCTAAGCCCCGTGACCCAGGCATGGCGAGGAGGCGGCATCTGCCGGGAAGATGATCAAGGCAGGCCGGGGGCTGGCCTCTCTCTCGGAATCCAAGGATTAGAAGTGAGAAAAGGGACAGGCTGGAAGCTGTCCGGGGCCCCTCCTGCCGCCGCGCCCACCCTGGGTCGGGTTACCCTGGAAGTTGGACATCAGGGAATTCTGGTATTTTCAATTATCAGCCGGGCATGCCAGTAGGCTATGGGGTCAGCGGTGCCCTGTGACCCTTGCCAGGAGATGGAGCCCCAGGGAGCAGAACACAGAAGAGGCCCGTGGCCTGAGGGGGTGGGGGAAGTCGGTCAGCCAGCTCTCCTGCAGCAGGTGGTCAGGGGGCCTGCTGGCCTCTAGCAAGACCTGGGGAGAGTGGGGAAAGCCATCGCTGGCAGGGGCTTAGGCCAGCTGAATTCTCTCTGTGAGTTATGTTTCTTCCCTAAGGCATGGTGGGGCTGACGAGGGATTTCTGAGGGCAGATGAGGAGATCCTACAAGGTGGTCCCCTTGTGGACTAAGTGGAGGCCCAGCTTTATAGTCATAGGTCATAGAAACAGGAGGCAGAGATGCTGACTGGTCACGTCACACCTCACTTCCTGTGATTCAGGATCTCAGAGCGCTGAGGGTGAAGGAATCCATGGCCAGGTGAGAAGAATCAGTGAGCTAAGGCACCACGGGGAGAGGTGGACACACCTTGGGCGGTCCGAGGCCCCACCCCAGGCCCAGGTAGGCTTATAGTTCCTCTCAGAACCATCTGCTGCCCTTGTTCCCATGAATGGCCCCACAGATGTCCCACCCTGCCATGGAGGCCCTGCCTGGAACCTCCTCTTCTTCATCCCCTCTCTCAGTACCATCCATTCTGTCCCTTCATGTTCTCAAATATACTGAGCTCCTTCCCTTCTGGGTCTTGGCTCCTGCCTTTTTTGCCTGGAAACCTCTTCCCTTCCGCCTTCCTGAGGTCAGTGGCCCTCATCTTCGTTCAGGTCTTCACCCAGATGTCATGGTTCAGAGACACCATGCCTGACCGTCTCTCTTCTCTGTCTGACACACATCAGTCCTCTGCCACCAGTGCCTGGAACAGCGTGTGGCTCAGAATAGGTGCTTCAAGGGTATTTATTGGTAGGAGTCAGCGAGGGAGGGAGGGAGGAGGCGGACTGCAGGCAAGCTATCGCTCTCTCCACCCTTCTTCTCTCCTTCCTTCGACACTTCCTGCTGCCTTCCCAATAGTCAATCTCTCTGACATGAGCAAAATTCGAGGTCTTAGCTAAGCGCACTGTGCCCAGTTAAAAGACTACATTTCCCCAACCTCTCTCCTAGCCCGCGTGACCATGTGTGCTTGCCAGCGGATATAAGCTGAACTCCTGCACAAAACCCTAAGGAAGTCACTTAACAAGGAAAGCGGTCTCCTAACTCACATTATCCTCGTGCCTGGGACATGTGTGTGACAGCTGGAGAGACTGCAAGCCAGTGTGGCCCACAGGGATGTGTTGAGGAGCCTGGGCCCCCGATGACTCCACATTTCCTATTTTCCAATATTCGTTACACATCAGAGAAAGAACACCTCCATTCTGACCAAGCCAATGGTCTGGCTGTATCGACTGTCCCTCTAGAACTATACCCCTCTGTCGGTCACTTTTCAGGGTTCATTTCACCGGTTATGGGACTTCCTTTGGCCAATGGGACATAGGCAAACATGACTTGAGAAGGCCCCTGTGTGTCTATCTGGAGACTGTCTCAGTTCCCTGTGTCTGCCAGGAGTTTGTACCCAGGATAACGTGCTAGCTAGGGCAGTGGTTCTCAACCTTCCTATCGCTGCGACCCTTTAATACAGTTCCTCATGCTGTGATGGCCCCCTACCATAAAATTCCTTGTTACTTCGTAACTTTAATTTTGCTACTGTTATGAATCATCATGTACCTATCTATGTTTTCCTACTGTCCAAGGCGACCCCAGAGAGGGGTCGCGACCCACAGGTTGAGAAATGCACAGCAGCTGGAGCCACTGCAGACTAACGGACAGCTCTCACCACCACACAGGGAGCCAAGCCCTCTCGATACCCACAGGGCCCTGGAGCAGGTGGACGCAAACACAAGCACACCTCCACCAGGACCGAGACTGCCATGGGCGGTCCGGAGACTCGCAAACTCGCTGCGTGTTGCTTCTCTTCTATCGCCGGCTTTGTCATTCGGCCTGTCCTATATCCCTCCTGCACCACGCAGCGAGCCTGTCGTCGATGGCACCTTCAGTCAGCACCGCCTCCCACCTCCAAAGGATCAGAGCGCAGGATGCGGTCTCCCTCGCCCTCTCTCTCCTCTCTCCCCAGCCCCCCCCCCCAGTTCTCTGATCCTCTCGGCCTCCCAGGGAGAGAAGAGGGTGAAGACAAGTTCTTATCAGTTCCAGAGCACAGGGCATTGTGTGCCCAGACCCAGCGGGGCACCGGGATCAGAGGAGTACGGGGGACGAGAAGGGCTTTGGAGAGTTCAAAGTCTTTCGTCAAGGGAGCCACGTGGCATGGTGGCATGGACGCAGACCTGGGTGGGGTACCTGCTCTGCTATGGACCCCTGTGGGATCCTGAGAAGCCAATTAGAGATCTCTCTGAGCCTCAGTTTCCCTCTATGTAGCAAGAGATATGCATGAGATGACCTGGGGCCCCTGTAATGTGGGGTATTTCAATA